TTATTTTTCTCTGTTTTCTAAGAATTGTGTACGTTGAGATAATTAATCTTTCTGAAAATTTGAATGGAATGTTTAAAACATCTAAAAAGAAGTACTAAGAATCTATCTTTCATCTTGGGAATTATTTGGCGAAACGTTGCAAAATGTTACTTATTTAAAACTAAGCACAAGGTTATACTTTTGTAAGGAGTATTTAACCCAAGAAGAAACCAAAGAAACCATTTTTTTTTTTTTTTTAAGAATTGTGGACGTTGATTTAATTAATTCTCTTTCAAATTCGAATAGAACGTCTAAAACATACTAAAAGGAATTAAAACTTTTTACCTCGAGTTACTCGTTTAAAATTACAAACTTTATATTTTCGCAACGAGTATTTAATTGAAAAAACGAAAAAAAAATTCGCCCAGTTTGATTCTCTAGGTAATATATCGACATTTTAGCACCGCAAGTGACAACAAAAAATTACTGTAAACTTCGCAAAAATTATCTATCGAAATTATCCATTACGGAGGAGGAAATAAATACAATTTACACGAATGAAGAATAGTTGAAAAAAATCATCGACAAAATACGCCGACTCTCGTGGAAACAATTTATCCTCTCTGGTTAATAGAATACCGAGAGTCGCCGGTAATACCCACGACGTAAAATGTTCACAGCGGTAAAGCGTATCAGTCAAGTTAGCTTTCTTCTTATTCCCATTTGCTTCCGAAAAAGAAGACGACTTGCGCGCTTTTATGACAATGCATAAATCAGTGTCGAATGCGCATGGGCAATAGCATTAATTCCCGCCGGTTGTCTAGGCGATCGTATTTCTTCAGGAAGAATATAATAAATCTTGTCACCCCTCGCCAAGTCACCTTTTCTAACCTGCTACCTAATAATCACGGTTAGGTATAAAATCGCGAGAAACGACAAGAGATGGTTTGCACAGTTATGTATCCGCTTACACAGAATTGTGGGAATGTAACGCATACCACCGTGCATACGAACGTAACATCGCTTGAATTTTGCGGTTAACCGGTATAATTGCATCCCTGTCTCCCTATGATTTTATTCTGTCGCAATATATTTAGATATTGCTGGAACTATTGACCGTATGTTCTCCGATAACCGTTGAATATTTTGTATTGTTTCTGATATGTTAACACTAGAACTACCAGCCGAGTCAAAATGACCCATTACCGACTCTCCAAAAGTGAATTTTTGCGTAAGTAAAACGGTGATTGGAAAATTCGATTAGAAATAGATACAAATGGAAGCATACACGTAAAAAATAAATTCGGAAAGTTACAAACGCTAATGTTCGTGCCCGATTTTCAGAGATGGGGGGAACCTTATCGCCCGTCGGTACAGATGTTTGCTTCAGCGTTATGGTACATACCTATCG